TGATAAAGAGTAAAGCTAGAACAAGGAGATGGGTGATGGCATCTTGGAACATAGTCCAGCAGCCTAAATAAGTGCAGCAGATAGTCACTGAGGAGAAACAAAAAGTATAGAAACATTAGAGCTATTTCAATATTCTTTTAATAAATATTTAAAATAATCTGTTGTCACAGCAATAATTTTTATCTAGCTTTTTTGCATCAGCTAAGACAGAATGCTTTTTGTTTTAGCTACATTTCAACAGGTTAAAAAGAGACTTGTTTTCATTGGAGACATCAGATTTTCCAAGCTTTTTTGCTGTTTTAACACTTAAATATTTGAAAGCATGTCTTTAACGCTTTTAGACTGATTCTCACTCAAGACCTCTGGTTGCAACAAAATAATGTTCTGAAATTACATTGTGTCCGATGACCCACTCCTTTGAGAGCCAAACGAGTGGGTGGAGAGGCTCGACATTGTAGTGATGCCAGGATCAGGATATCAGCCAGTGGAAGGATCAGAATTTGATAGTAATGTGTTGGCTTGTCAAAAGTTACCTCAGTGTTTACATGAACATTCAGAGGAAGTCTGTTTGAATTATGAGTCATGGCAGATACATACATGAGGATTTAATTTCTGTACCTGACTGCACAGTTAGAAAACTGCCCACCAAAGTATTTACAGTTGAAATCATGTGTTTTCATTCACTGTACAAAAAGACAGACCATTGTTTGTTTGACATTTAATCAGAGTATACCTTTTCTGTTTTAAGGCAGTTAGGATTCTCAAAATTATTTTTATTTCCTAAATGTCTGAATAATAAGAGGGAGAATTAATTTTATTACTTTCTCCAAAGTCACAAGTTAACATCCATTTTCTTAATAATGAGATGTTTGCATAATTTCACATAATTTCCTTCCTCATTCCATCTACTTTGTGACGTACACCAGCCTTTCATGCACTTCCCAAAATAGACACGAGTAAAGAAAATTATGTGAAAATATTCAAACATCTCAATATAACATCCAGAAAGTTAAAACTTTTTGTGAAGCGTACAAGTCCCATCTGCAAACCAGCCACTAGGGAGCACAAGCCAGTGTATCTCTTGTTCTGGTCCCAAGCGCCCGGTTTACGATGAGGGTTGTGTCAGGAAGGACATCTAATGTAAAACTTCTGACAAAACAAACATGCAAGTCTGTTTAAATGATACTGGATCAGTTGAGGCCTGCATTTACAACTATTGCTAATGATGTGTTGATAAGCAGGGTGCTGGTGGAAACTGTGCTGATAGGTAATTCCCACCTTAAAAAAACCAAACAGACAACACAGTGTGAGTTCACAACCGAGCTTTTGCAAAAGGGGAGTCACAGTCACAACTGTGTTAAGGCTGTGAGCTGAGAACTCCAAAGACTTTCAGCATCTGCTTGTTTTTTGTTGTCGCACAGAAAGGAGTGAAAACTGGACATCTTTATTATGCAGGCATTTTAGATTACACAACGAGGGCAAGGTGGTCTAGAACATTTTGGTTTATGATTAAACGCTTACATGGGTGTGAGTAATGAGTTCCTGATACCATTGTATCAGTGAATTCTGCTTCGTACACACAGTTAAGAAAAACAATTACAGTGTGAGATTGATAATGTGAGATTGATCAAATATGAGTTGATATGTATAAAACCCTGACATCTGTGGTTTTACAAAAAGAAACAGTTCTCAGAAACTGCTGCGTGAGTGAACTTTATCAGTTCCTGACAGTTGGTTTAACTTTGCAAGTTCACAGATTTAAAGTCGAGCAGGCACTCTAAGACAAAGTTTGACAAAGTTTGATAAAGTTTTTAAGATACGAAAACCCTACCACATGCTACTGTTAGTCAAAGATCATGAGGAGGGAAACGTGTCAGGAGACAGAGGGAGAAGAGGAAAGTCAACTGTAGGACTGAATATAGCAACTGTAAAGGTAGGGACATTGACAAGCAAAGGTAGAGAACTGGTTAGCATGATGCAGAGAAGGAAGGTAGATGTACTATGTGTGTAAGAGATCAGGTGGAATGGCAGCAAGGCTCACAGCAGTGGGACAGGGTTTAAACTGAGGGGATGAGGAAGTGATGGGTAGGTTTGGTGTCAAGGAAAGAAACCAGGAAGGACAGATGGTGGTGGATTTTGCCGAGAATGGGAATGGTTGTAGTCGGCACTTATTTCCAAAAGAGGGAAGAACATATAGTGACCTATAATAGTGGAGGAAGGAGTACACAGGTTAAGTACATTTTGTGTAGAAGAGGAAACCTTAGGGAGCTTGGGGACTGTAAGGTTGTGACAGGGGAGAGTGTGGCCACAGAATAAGATGGTTGTGTGTAGAACAACTGTTGTTGTGAAGACGAGAAAAAGAACAAAATCAGAGAAGAAGACTAAATGGTGGAAGATGAAGAAAGAAGAATGTTGTGAGGAGGCTCTGGGTGGTTAGAAGGAATTTCCAGATGATACATCAACAGTGATTAGAGACAGGTAGGAAGGTACTTGGTGTGTCATCTGGACATAGAATGGATGATAAGGAAACCTGGTGATGGAATAGTGAAGTGCAGGAAGTTATTTCCTTGTAGACTTCATAAAAGCCTTATTAAAATATCCACATGTTCTTTTCATTTTTGGATTCTTCCATGAAACTAAACAGTCATGTAAACATCCATCTATCCATCCATCCATTATCTTTACCTGATTCTTCCTTTTCTGGTCATGGGTGTCACTGGTGCCCATGTCCAGCTGTCACTGTGCAAGAGGAGGGGGACACCCTGGACAGGTCTCCAGTCCTTCACAGGGACACATAGAGACAAACGAGACAAACAAACATTCAGTCTCTCACTCGCACCTAGGGACAATTTAGAGTTACCAATCAGTCTAACATGCATGTTCTTGGTCTGTGGGAGGAAACTGGAGCACCCGGAGAAAACCCACGCATGCACGGAGAGAACATGCAAACTCCACCCAGAAAGGCCCCCGGACCGGGATTTGTACCCACAACCTGCTCGCTGAGAGGCAGTAGCACCAACTTTGCCACTGTGCTGCCTGTCATGTAAACATGATTGTTAAATCCTGTTTGTTTCAGTTGAGGCGACTGTCTAACCTGAAGCCCATACTGTCTAAAAGTAACCTTGAGACATTAATACATGTGTTCATAACATCCAGGCTCGATCACTGCAACGTGCTTCTGTTTGGAATCAGTCAGTCCTCCACTGCATGTTTACAATTGGTTCAAAATGCTGCAGCTCGATTTTTAACTGGTACAGGCAAAATAAAGCACATTACTCCAATGCTGGCCTCTCTTCACTGGCTCTCAGTTCACTTTCGAATTCAGTTCAAAATCCTTCTGTATGTTTTTAAATCTCTGAATAGTTCTGCCCCCTCTTATCTCGCTGATCTGCTGCAGCCAAATGCCCCACAGGGCTCTCTGAGGTCAGCAGACCACATGCTTTTATTGAGTCCAGTTACTCGTTTTAAGCTCAGAGGTGACAGGACCTTCTCTGTTGCAGGTCCAAAACTGTGGAATGACTTACCACTGCATGTCAGGCAGGCTCCCTCTCTCACTGTTTTTAAGTCTCGTTTAAAAACTCACTTTTATTCCCTGACTTTCAACCTTTTTCCAGATACATATTTTTGGAACTCACATTCTGTAGCGCTGGAGGGAGTGGTGGTGCAGAGGTTAGAGAAGGTGGGCCTGTGATCGGAAGGGTGCCGCTTCGACTACCCGGTCCAACAACATCAAAATGTGGCCTCATTTGCCCCACTCCGGGCCCTTGAGCAAGGCCCTTAATCCCCACCATCTGCTCCCCTGGGTGCCCTGGATAGCAGCTCTCTGCTCCACACAGAGGGGGCTGTGGTAGCTCGGTGGTCTGTGGTTGAATCAGGAAGGACATCTGGGGTGAAAACAATTGCCGAGTCTTCGTGTGAAATAGTTCGCTTTGGCGACCTCTGAAGAAGGGAGCAGCCGAAAGAAGATGATGATGTTATTCGGCAGTGCCAGCAGATGAGCGTGTCGATATTAGTTTTTCTACAATTGGGGGGTGGGGGCCCACAAGTCCAGGCCTCAGAGTGGAGGTTTTAGGAAATGTCCAGCGTCGTTTCAAGGAAAGCCACAACTCACTTGGAATCACACACGTGCACTATGGTTGCAGTCAGTCAATAGTCTTTCTACCTTTGCTCAAACAGATGAACAACCATAACAATGACAGATAGCAGAGTGCTGTTTGTGCTGATCCACTTCCACTGAACCACTCGGGTCTTCACAGTTTCACAACTGTTCATTCAATGGCTGTTATTGAAATCCTTATATTGCTATGAATTTTGCATTACCTGTTTATTCTTGCAGAAATATTGTGATATTCCAGCCAGAAGTGTTACAGTTTCTTCTGTTGCTATTTGCACATTCAGAGCCCCATAAAATTCCATGTAAATCACTATATAATGTGAGAGGTGACAGCATGTAAAGGCCTTTAAAATAGCTATTACTCCAACCTAAAAATGTAGTTGGAGTGTTTGTTGGCAGGTCTTGATCACAGCAGACATTCACAGGTGTCTCACTATGTTAGCTTCTCATGAACAGGTCTTGTTGGAGTCTTTACCTGCTTACATAGTTTTTGCTCTCCCTGCACCTTAAAAGGAAGTGGAGCTGTGCTCAGAAAAAAAAAGTCCAGCATTAAAAAAAATATAAATAAACAACAAGCATCAGATTCCTTTTCAATTTTATAATGCAAGGAGGAGTGAACACTTGTGGGGATTACATCAGCAATGGATTAATCTATGAGATGTTTTTGTTCACACAGCTGGGAGTTTGTTCCACAACAATCCTGAATTAGCACAACGATGTTTCCTTTGCTGTTTGCTAAAAGCTCACCCACTCTTATACTGTTACTCTTTTGTGTTGTTTTCTTTTCACGGGAATTTAATGACACATCAGTTGACTGTACATTAGTCTTTAAAGTTGTAAAGTACATGTTAATGATGTTGACTTTTGTCTCTGTTTGCTGCATTAGGACTGAAAAAACGAACCAGGAAAGCTCTGGGCTTACGAAAGAAAGACAAGGACCCAGAAACAACGTGAGTTTGTCATGACACACACACTTTAATGTTGCACAACATCCAAATCACACAAGTCCTATAAAACAACTTGATAAAGGGTTACTTAGAGAATGTTAAATAAACCACAGCATGTTTACAAACAGTTTAAGGATCATATATATATATGTATATGTGTATATATATATATATATATATATATATATATATATATATATACATAAATACATACATTTGTCTATTGTTGTCCACTGTTGTAAATGAGCCCCCAAGGCTCAATAGGACTAACCTGTATAAATAAAAGCTGAATTAATTATCTTTACACGTTTCTTACTTTTCGGGTCGCAGGGGGTCACAAGTGCACATGTCCAGCCATCACTGTGTGAGAGGCGGGGGACACTCTGGACAGGTCTCCAGTCCATCACAGGGACTCATAGAGACAAACAACCATTCACTCTCTCACTCACACCTAGAGACAATTCAGAGTTACCAGTCAGTCTAACATGTAAGTTTTTGAACTGTGGGAGAAAACCCACTCATGCACGGAGAGAACATGCAAACTCCACCCAGAAAGGCCCCCAGTCGGGATTTGAATTGTGGCGGCGTTCTCGCTGAGAGGCAGCGGCTTTACCAACTGCACCACCGTGCTGCCCATGTCCTCTCTAACTGCATCCATATATCTCTTCTGTCTTTTTCTGGGCAGTTGCATTTCTAACATCTTTTTACAAATATATGCACTGTCTCTCCTCTGGACATGTCCAAACCATCTCCTCCTTTATCACAAATGGCTCCTGAAACTTTTCTCTATTCATTTCTGGACAGTGGACCCCAAGTACTTGAAGTCCTGCACCTTTGTGACCTCTGCTCCTTGTATCCTCACTGTTCCACCTCCTCCTTCTCATTCACACACATGTACTCTGTCTTACTACGGCTGACTTTCATTCCTCTTCTTTCAAGTGCATACCTCCACCTCTCCAAGTTCTCTTCCACCTGTTCCATGTTCTCGCCACACATCACAATGTCATCTGCAAACATCATAGTCCATGGAGATTCCTGCCTGACCTCATCTGTTATAACTATAGTTATTTCATCACCAGAGCAAACAAGAAGGGGCTCAGAGCTGATCCTTGATGCACTCCCACCTCCACCTTGAAACTATCTGTCACTCCTTCAGCATATCTCACCACTGTCCTCATACATGTCCTGTACCAGTTTAACATACTTCTCTGCCACTCCAGATTTCCTCATGCAATACCACACCTCCTCCCTCGGCACTCTGTCATATGCTTTTTCTAAATCCACAAAGACACAATAGAGTTTTTTCTGACCCTCTCTGTACGTCTCCACAAATATCCTCATTGAGGTTCACCACCCTGGTTCTTAAAAATGGGCACCAGCACACTTCTCCTTCATTCCTCAGGCATTTTATCACTTTCAAAAATACCATCAAGACAAAACCCTGATTTCTATCTCTCCTAGACATGTTTAGGCTTTTTGTAAAGACGTTTTGGGTTTTGTGTGTTTGTTTCAAATGATTTAAAGAAAGGTCTGGGTCCTCTTTTGAGGCCACAGATGTAATTCTGAATATTATTTCCACTAACTTGTTCACATCTCTGTTTGAACAGAAGCTCACCTGACAAAGAAGGAAGTGGAAGCAGCAAGAAGGTAAATGTATGTTTCCACTGTCATTTTTCACAATAAGATGCTGATTATTGGGATAATTTCCAGAACAGTAACATAATTAGCTGTGGGCCAGCTGACTGTAACTGTTAGATTTATCACTTGTTTCAGGAACACTGTTACAGCCTTACAGCCTGATAATGATTTAATTTCAGTTGAGGTTCCATCTAGTTAATAGCTGTGATGGAAACATTAAAAAATCTATCAGTAATTTTAAGATAGGGCTTTATAATATCTTATTTGTTGTGTGTAGCTCTTTAAACAGCCTCAGTTTCTTTAGGTCAGAGAAAACTGATGAGTTAATAGCTGATCTGAAAGCAGCTAAAACCAAAGATATTTGCTGGCATCTTAAAAAACCTCATTCTCAAAATTTTATAGGCATCATTGCAAACTGTAAATTGTAAACTTTTACACTGCTGTTTATTTTTAAGACATGTCTTTCTACAAAATGTGGTTACTGTAGTCCCTCGTTTATCACATGGGGTCCGTACCCTGAAGACCAGTGATAAGTGAAAAACTGCGAAGTAAGAATACTACTACTAAACTACTACTTAGTACAAGTACTAAGTAGTAGTTTATTTTTGTATATATATATATATATATATATATATATATATATATATATGTGTGCATTTTAAACCCTTCCCACACTCTTGCAATATTCTAAATAATGTTTCTAAACTCTAAACGCTCTAAAACAGCACAGCATGTCATGATTTCAGCTCCCTGCCTCTGCTGCTCTCTGCCACCTGCAAGCGCTCTTGGCCACGCCCACTTCTCAGCTCTGCACGCAGATCCGCTGATTTCAGCTGTTCAGCTGCAGGAGGAAGTTTATCCTGCAGTATGGGCTGCACAGAGGTGCAGCAGGTGCTAAATAATTTAAAATAATTTATTTTAAATAAAAAATTCCATGCTGATCGTGTGGCTCATCCATCCATCAGCCAATTGTGTGTCATGTCCAATCTTTATTTTGAAAAACTGCGATAGAGCGAATCCGCGATAAACGAACCGCGATGTAGGGAGGGACTACTGTACTACAAAAGCAACAAGCTGTAGCAGCAGTTTGTGGTAACTCTTATGGTGCAGCATAGGGTCAAAATTTGGCAGGAGTTTCATATTTCTGTCAGAATAATGGTAACAGTATGTGTATTCATTCTAAACATTACAGAACCAAACAAATTGTTAAATGTGAACACATGCAGGTTTAGGTGTGCAACTGAAGTGTAGCATGCTACTTTTGACCACATCACTTTTAAAAGGTGAGCGCACCACAAAGGAGCAAGGAAAACACCAACAGGCCAGCTTGGGAAACTCCTACTAACATTTAAGTCTGCTGTTTGGGAACAGTACTTTTTTGTATACTAGAATAAATGTGGAGAAGGGAGCGTTGAGTGAATGAAAGCTTAATGTTGGAACTGTTCAGCTGTGATCAGGTAGCTGGATCCAAGTCAAACGTTACTAGAGAAATTGCATTTCCTGTTACAATTCAGTGTGAATAATAATTGCAGAAGAACTTGCTGAAAAACAGCTGAAATTAGCTAAAAAAGCATACTGAAATGTAGCTGAAATGAAGAACTAGCCTAAAGTAGCAAAAGAAAGCAGAAAAAACACATATTTGCTGCATTAGGTTTAATTAAGCAAAAATGAGCACAAAAATTAGGGTTAGCTAAAAAAGCTGAAATTTGCAAAGAATAACTGAAAAGTAACTGAAAATGTAGAAAGAAGCTTAAACTACCAGAATGAAGTGGAAAGAGCTGAAATGATTTTAAAAAGGTGGAATTAGCTGAAAAGCAAAATTTAGCATAAAATGGCTAAATAAGAGCTGAAATAGCAGAAACTAGCAGGAAAAAGTTGAAATGAGCATAACAATCTGAAATTAGCTTAAAGAAATTAATTAGCATGAAAGTAGCAGAAATTACCACAAAAAACTTGAATTTATCTTAAAACAGCTGAAATTAGATAAAAATGCTATAAAGGTAGCTGAAAATGTAGAACAAGCTTAAATTAGCAGAAGAAAGTAGAAACAACATGTTGAAAGAAGCAGGAAAAAAGCACAAAAAATGGAAATTATCTGAAAAAAGCTGAACTTTGCGCACTTTTAACTTGAAACTGTAAAAGCCAGAAAGAAGCTGAAATTACAAGAATGAAGTAGAGAGCACATTTTTGCTGAATTATGCTGAAAACAGTTTAAATGAGTGCAAAAAATGTGGCATTAGCTGAAATAGCTTAAATTAGCATAAACAGCTAAATAAAAGCTGAAATAGTAGAAAAAGCTGAAACTTGCAGAAATTTGCTGAAAGGAGCATAACAAGCTGAAATTAGCAGAAAGAAGTTAGAAGACACAAAAATGTAGTTAGCAGAAAGAATCTGAAAGGAGCACAAAACAGCTGAAAAAACAGCTGAAATTATCTGAAAGTAGCTGAAAAAATGTTTAAATTTGCTCAAGGAAGCTGAAAGAAGCTGAATCAGAACAAAATGTGAAAGGAGCAGTAAAAGGTTGTAAACAGCTCTAAAGATTTGAAGGATGTAAAATGAGCTCAATTCATTTTCTGAGGAAAAAAAGTGGCAGAAAAGCCTAAATATTCCACAAAGCTAAAGTTGCACCAATACCAAAAGTCATAGCAGGATTGTCCTGAAAGAGTTGAACATCTCTGATGTACGATTTGTTGAAATGGTGTGAAAACTGAGGGACGAGAATCACGCTGCAAAACGTATGGAAGAAAAATGTATCTCAGTAGTGTGACTGCTTCATAAACATTCTCACTGTTACTCATCTGAAACAGCATCACCATAACGTAAACATAACTGATGCAAAGAACAGAAAAACTAAAAAGCTGGCTGGAGCGTTCAGACAGCTTCTCCCTAACACTCCAGACCTGGACAAATGTATTAATAAACGCCACAAGAGTTACTGTATGACCATAGTCCTGCTTCTAAAACACCCGTTTTAAACTCACATTGAAATGAATGAAAATATGTTACAAGTTTTCTCTCATCAACATTGTAAATTATACAAGATTTATGGGGCCAAGTACAGTAGTCCTTACCACCTCGCAGTTCGTTTTTTGCAGACTCGCTCTATTACGGTTTTTCTAAGTCAGATTTGACATGACACACAATTAATTGGCTGATTGATGAATGAGCCACACGATCGGCATGGATTTTTATTTAAAATAAATTATTTTAAATTATTCAGCACCTGTGTGCAGCCCACAGCTGTGGGAGAAGCTTCCTCGTGGAGCTGATCAGCTGATTTCCATGCAGAGTGGAGAAGTGGGCGTGGCCAAGAGAGCAGCCGGCGGCAGGGAGCTGAAATCATGACATGCATCTTTTAGAGCGTTTAGAGTTTAGAAACATTGTAACTACTACTTACTACTTGTACTATTTCTACTTCACAGTTTTTCACTTACCGTGGGGCTTCAGGGTACGGATCCTCCACAAGAAACGAGGGACTACTGTACAAATAACTTATCCAAAGTTATTAGTTATCTATTTAACCTTTTAACTGTTGTGTTTGTCTGTTTTATGTATTCCTTGAGTGCTTTGAACGTTGCAGATATCTAATTGATTATTATTGTTGTTATTATATTAAGTATTTATACATTTGTGTATTGAAAACATATCAAACCGTGATTTTTGTGTACTGTTACATTCCTTACAGATGAGTAATGTAATGAGAAATTGGCTGCGATGTAAAGATTTAATTAGGGTTTGCATGAAATGATATCAAACTCTGAAGATCGGAGTTCTTTTAAAATGACAGCTTTCCGCTTTAGTCTCAGTAAATTCAAATGAGTTATTAGCTCGTCAGTCCTGTCAGACTTAAACTCTATTCCTCCAAACACTGGTCATTCAAAGAAGTAAGATATTGATTAATTATAACTTTTTCCACAAAGACTTACTTCAACATTTCCAACATTTTCCTTTATTTTTTATTGTCAAAAGCTTTATTTTACTTAGTTTTTATTTTAGTTTTTATTTAATGTTTTTTTTTTTTTTGGTTGATAGAAAAAGGCCAACGGGGCTCCTAACGGGTTGTATGGGGAGATTGACTGGGACAGATATGTGAGTACTCACAGTGGATGACTTGTTTCTCTGTTTGTTTCCTACATGGACTGATGCTCTGCAGGTCTGACATGAAATCACCTCTTTCTAATCAGGGTTTAAAAATAAAAATCAGTTTGTGTGAGTCTGCTCTTGTTGTCCCCTTTGCAGGCTTCTCCTAATGTGGATGACGAGGGCTTCAGTTTGCAGCCAGGTGATGAAGATAACGGTATCCTTTCAGCAAGATGAGGATGAAGCAGGCTTTAGGACCACAGACATATTGACTTGTTTGGTAGAGCAGGTTGAGTGACTCATTGAAAGAGTAGTCTCTGCAGGAAAACTGAGGAGCACCTGACAGAGCCACACTACGTTTGGACCGATGTCCAGCTGTCATTAAGTCACTTCCAGTTCAGTAATGTTGAGGCTGTTGCTCCTGTAGGTGTCAGTGAGTACAGTTTGGATTAGACTCGGACAGAGCAGGCACGGTGGAGACTTTATCCATGTAAGATAATTTGGTTGAGACAGAACAGGAGCAAAAACAGCCGACTGGGACAAGATGGACAGACTGTCCTGTTCTTCTGCTTCTAAATGTTGGACTCAGTCTAATTTGTCTCTATTCTCTGTACAGCATGCATCTCCCACTTTGTCCTTGACACATCCACCAGCCTCCAAAGACAAGCACTTTTTCTCCTCCAGTGACTCGGAGGAAGATGAGGACAGCAAGAAAAAGTTTAAAATCAAGATCAAGCCTCTGGTGTCAGACAGTGCTAAGTGTGTCCCTCCATCTATGGACGAGCTGAAAGCTTCGGTGGGAGGCCTGGCGCTCTCTCCTTCTCTGGTGAGCACTGCTGATCTGATCCGACTAAGGTCCGATGAGGTCTGGGGTCCTATGAGGTATATGTACAGTATAGATGAGGTTTGTGGATGAGGTCTTAACAAGGTCATGACCTTGTCTTATGGTTAAAGTCTTCCTTTAGACTTTGGTTGACCACTAGCCAAACGAGAGCCTGTTAAGTCTTGTATTAAAGCTTAAAACAACTTTTTCTCAAGAACAAGGTATTGATGGGAATAAAGCTGCATTACTTATTAATATTCCTCCATGTTTTTCAAGACACTGTTTAGTTTGTTGCTGTTTTCTCAACCAAACATCAGTGTTACTATGCCACGCTGTGTTTGCTGAGCATATTTAGACTGTATGCGTAATGTTGATGTCTAAACACAACCTGAAAACATCCACTCATTTATGTCCCATTATTACCCAGCAGCCACTGCAGTTCACGAAAAAAATATTGAACTCCATCTTAATGGTGCATTTAAGGACAGTATAATTTCAAACATTCAGACTGAAATTTAACAGTAACCCACATAACATATTTCATCTGCAAAATGTCTTTGTGTGATAAAACCAGAATACGACTGTAATATTGAAAATCACCAATTCATTTATCTATTTATGTTTTAGGAGCAGCTACAGTTTCAGTTTAGATTTTAAAATTTACAGGTTGCAATTGAATGCATGACAAATCTTCTCGTGGTCAAAAGAAAAATATATGTAGAAGCACATTATTTATTTTACCTCATCTTTTGCTGCTTTCCTAGAAACACATTTAACACTAACAAGACATTCAGTATCTGATTTCCTGACCTTATGAGGAGACAGCATCTGGTTGTGATGCTGCTGATCCAGCTGCTGATCCACTTCAATGTCACAAAATTTTGCAACTCCACCATAACTTGCAGAGATGTGCTGCTGAGCTAACTCCATCAGATTAACTTTAAGGTTCTAGTAAATACCCAGATAGTAATGGCCATAAAAGAACAGAACGCCATGACCAGGAAAAGTTAACAGTGTTTATTTGCAAATATTGAATGAATGAATCGATGAGATGACTCAGCAGGGAGGGACTGGAACCCTGGAGAGTAAGGAGCAGAGTTATCAAGAGTGATTCTCAGGTAGGAGATAATGTCCAGTTTGTCTCGTACTTTTAGGAGTTGTAGTTGTCACTATTAGACCTGTCATGATAAACAATAAATCAGTTAATCGCATGATAAATGAAAATTATTGACCTCATTTTCATTTATTGGCTTTATTGTGTCTTCCTGTCTCTCTCTTTCTACTGAAGACACTGGATGACAAAAGACACGACTCTGGTATTCTTCACTGACCCCTCCCTTTCTCTTTTCTCTTTAGAATAAATTTTAACCATCCAAAATCGCGTTTTTGGGTCTTTAAAAGCAGCTAAGCTGAGAGGCTAAGCTATGAGCTAAGCTAACAAGCCGACCTCGAGAAAAAACCTCCGCCTTGTCGAAGCTCCAAAATTCACGGTTGAAACCCGTGCCTTTGTGTAAAAAGTTGTTTTTCTCTGCAAAAAGAAGCTGAGAACTTGTTTACTGATTTTTTATTAAAAGCTTTGTGTGAAAAATGCTATGCTAAAGAGCTCAAACCACACCAAGCGTCTGCTATATTGAGAACCGAAAAAAGGAAGGAGAGACAGCCCATGTCACGTCAAGGGGCCTCCCTCCCATTTTTTCTTAACGAGACACGCTGCTTGCTCCCTCTCCATCCATCCTTCAGTTCAAACAGTATTATACTGCCACCCGGTGGTCAAAAACAGGTACTGCACTCGAAACAAATTAACCAACATTTCTTCTTAAATTTGACAATAATTACTAATTATTGTCAAATTCCAAACAATATTATCATTTATCGCAATAATTTTTGAGACATTTAACCACCAAGCAAAATTTGTTATTGTGACAGGCCTAGTCACTGTGGTAAAGGTCCAAATGGTTCCAGATGAAATGGGTAAGGTGGTTCCAGGAAGATTCATACAAGGAGTCAAGTGGTGGAAGGCAAGGAGCAGCTGTAGAGATCACGAGGTGGTATTAGTGGAGAAACCAGGAGATCCAAGGTGCAGGTGGAGCACAGGAGTCAGAACTATGACATGTAGGAAAAGGTTAGTTTAACAAATCACAATGAGTAATTTATCAGGCCAGGAGCATACTACCATAAGACAGACAATGCAACAGCGTCGGCTTGAAGTCATCTGCTGTTACTTATACTCCAGATGCTCATTAGTCTGAATGGATCCCAGGTATGATTCTGCTGGTGCCCTCTGGTGTAGGAAGAACTGTGGAAGAAAGACTGGGATTCTTAAATTGACAAATCCAGCTTTGATTAAAATTTGTCCATAGTGGAAAAAAATGGCAGCGCCAACAACACAGTTGATTAATTTTCAGCCAGCTGAAAAAGAACAAAGACAAATAGAAGAAAAAAATCATCCACGACTAGTGTTGATAAAGGTCCATTTCAAAATGTCTTTCACCAGCTTTTATTTGCTGTCAGTTCCACTGCTGGAGTTGGTTTTCCTTTTTGGAATAAACTCTTTATCTCTGCAAAAGATCAACTTGAAAAAGATGATGCTAACAAGCTATCCACATCGTTCATATCCAACTCTGCCAGGATTTCCTTAAAACCACTGTCATAGGATGGCCCACAGGGGGTTCCTACAGATCTAAGGCTGCTTGTTTTGGTGCCACCCACTCCACTTCAGCATTGTGACTGGTCAGTTTTCCATCACATACTAATCAAACTCATCCTGGAGAAACTCTGACTGAAGTAAGCCTTCACTCAAGGCAGAGAAGTCTTAACCAACGAGAAAGCTCCAAACATGTTTCTACCCAGAGACGCAAATTTTAAATACTGTAAAATTATTATTTTTTCCAAAGATGGTGTTTTGTGTACTGTGTTATGTAATTTAAAGTAAATATTTGTGCTAATACAACAGAAATTACCTGAAAATGGACTTAATCTAATAATTTGATCCTGGAAATGTCTGAATTTTAAAAAATGATCTTGTGTAGGAATGTTGTAAGTCCCTCACTGTGTTTGCCTTATTTTTCTCCGTTTGTCTCCTAATGTTATGCAGAGGAGAAGTCCGGTAAGCCTCTCATGCACTTTCACATTTGTATCAGCACCAAGAAGGATTGTGTGGCATGTGCTCACTTGGTGTTGGTAATCTTCTTGTTGCATTTGCTTAGCGATTGTCTTTCTGAGCTTCCTCCTTTGGCTGCATGTAGTGTTTGTTTCAAGCCAACCACTTCTTCTGTTAAGCTAGTTTTACTTAAAGCCGTGTGGCAAAGCATCTGCATTAAATAATGCAAAGTAAACATAACACTGAGAGAGCTTCGGACGTGTCAGTGAAGCCAGGTTGTGTGATATTTGGGTGTTATGTCTCCTGCTGCATTATAAAAGCTTTGCAGTGAACAGATGTGGTGTGTGAGCAGTTTTAGTTGGTGTCCATTTGACTGATTTGTTGCTCACTCTCTGACCCAGGTCTGTTCTCTCTTCCTTTTTGCTGGTCTCAGAGACGCAGTCCGGTGAGTTTTTCACTCCAGCTGCTGACTAAAAGACAACTTTCTGGTCTCTGCTGATCTGTACAGTACATAAAGCACAGGGACACATACTGTACCGACAAACTGTCATATGTGATTTCGAATAAAAACAGATTTGCATTAACTTTATAAATGACAGTGATGTCTGTTTTTTTTTTTATTGCACACGAAGTGGCTGAAAATACACTATATTTTATATTTAAGGACACAACACACATTGTGAATTGTCTGGTTGTCTAAGTCAGTCCAAGAGAAGAAGATCATCGTATTTTGCAATAAGTATCAGAACCCCATGACATCTGTCATCCAGACATACTGTAGGTATTGGACACTTTGCAGCACCTGTGTCATACTGCAGTTTGTCGCAACAACTAGTATCAGATGAACTACACAGGTCATTGCATCATCACCGTATAGCCAGCCAGCAGTCAGCCAGATCCCTCCATTTTTACCCAATCCACCATGTGTGGAATCAGCTCAGACATCGACTCTTACCCATTACTGACCTGCTGGATGTCAAGGGTCAGTCACAACAACTGTGGGCTGATGCTGCAGGAGAGGATAAAATGATTATGGTTAATGTTTTGCCTTAAAATGGCCACTTGTAGGCCAGGGGTTGCCACATCTTACTAACATGGTACCAGCACTGTGCTCGTACTGTCAACTCTGTTATATATTTAATCTGGTATTTGAATCATTATCGTATATGGCCTTTCAACACATGCAGTTTCATTTCCACTGCCGTTTCTGGATGCTTCACTTTTTTTTTTGTCAGGGAATTGGTATTTTAGTGTAATGTCTGACTGAAGGGATCTGGGAAAATAAAGTTTGCTCAAATGAAATACATTAGCAATTTTTGTTTAGGAGTTTTGATGGCTGGACAAAGCATGTGTTACAGATGTATCTTTTGTTTACATTTTATTCTCTGCAGGTGCAGATAAAAAGGAACTTGTCTTGTAAGTACATCTAACTTTTTGAATTATCTTTTGTTTTCCTGTGAGAAGGCACAGTAGTTTTTATCCTGGGTGGCAGCATGCTTACAGTGATAATGCTGTTTAACATCACCAGCCTTGAGTTTAAGACATTAGTGTTGCAGGTGCTACAGAAGAAAAGATGACATTTTGTGATGTTTCTCACAGGTGAGGATATGGCCCGTCCCAGACGCTCCACCCCAACACCAAGTCCTGCACCTGAGACACCAAGGTCAGTCATTCTGATTAGAGCCCGACCGATCTGACCGATATGGAAATTTTGGTTATTGCTGATACTGATATTGGGAGGGGAAGGCTAGTGCTGATAACCAGTATATTGGCTGAATTTATTTTTTACTTTGTTCACCCCCAAGAATCTAAGTAAACAACCATTTTTAAAACCATTTTAACACTTAATAACTTGAAAGAGTCTTCCTAACGTGCATTTACATTTTCTATCCTCCACTATTCACCATAAACTTATAAAGTGTGTTACAAAAATATAAATTAGGCAAAGAAACACCCTTCCTTGTTCATTGTTTAAACAGTCAGTCACGTATGTGAAGGCCTATTTATTAATGACTGCAGTGGCATTTTTTTTCTTTGCAGAGAAGTAAAGATTTCAGACAAAAGATGCATTTTATTGAGGATGACAAAGATAACGTTACTAACACTGATATTTTTTTCCCTCTGCGTTAGATTTATTGTTCTGGATAAAGCTTTACAAGGCAGTATTCTGTGCTAGGTTATCTAAACGTTAGCTTGCTAACTTCAGAGGCACGTAGCTAATGACAAGTGTGTTGGAGATTGGCATCAGAAGCATTTGTAATGTGTATTTGAGTGTGTGTGTGTGTGGGGGGGGGGGGGGGCCCTCACCCCCCCCCCCCATCTGTCCCCCCCCCACACACACACACAAATACACATTACAAATTTTTTAAATAAATTTCTGTGGACCCACCACCTGCAGGAAGGACCATAAAAGTCGGGTGCATGATGCTATGGGCAGTGGCCGAAGGCTGGGACCTTGGTGCTCTGACCCTGGCTTACCAAAGCTGGCTCTTGGGACATGGAATGTAACCTCTCTGGCAGGGAAGGAGCCTGAGATTGTGCGCGAGGTTGAGAGGTACCGACTAGATATAGTTGGGCTCACCTCGACGCACAGCATGGGCTCTGGAACTGATCTCCTTGAGAGGGGCTGGACCTTATTCCACTCTGGAGTTGCCCATGGTGAGAGGCATCGAGCTGGTGTGGGTCTACTTGTAACCCCCTCGACTTGGTGCCTGTGTGTTGGAGGTTTCCCCAGTAGATGAGAGGGTGGCTCCCCTTCGCCTTCGGGTGGGAGGATGGGCTTTGACTGTTGTTTGTGCCTATGCGCCGAACTGTAGTTCAGAGTATCTGGCGTTCTTGGGAGTCCTTGGCAGTGGTGCTGGAAAGTACGCCAGCTGGGGACTCCTTTATTCTGCTGGGTGACTTCAGTGCCCACATGAGTAATGACAGTGTGAGCTGGAGGGGCATGATTGGGAGGAATGGCCTCTCTGATCTGAACCCGAGTGGTGTTCTGTTGTTGGACTTTGTGCTAGTCATAGTTTGTCCATCACGAACACCATGTTCGAACATAAGGATGTTCATAAGTGCACTTGGCACCAGGATGCCCTAGGTTGTAGATTGATGATTGACTTCATAGTCGTGTCATCTGATTTGCGGATGTTTGTTTTGGATACTTGGGTGAAGAGAGGAGCTGAGCTGTCAACTGATCACCACCTGGTAGTGAGTTGGATCAGATGGCAGGAGAAGATGCCGGACAGACCTGGTAGGCCCAAACGTGTAGTGAGGGTTTGCTGGAAACGCCTGGCAGAAGAACCTGTCAGAGAGATCTTCAACTCACACCTCTGGGAGAGCTTTAACTGCATCCCAGCAGAGGTGGGGGACATTGAATCTGAGTGGGCCATGTTCCGCATCTCGCTTGTAACTTGCTTGAGCTGTGGCTGCAAGGTTGTCGGTGCTTCTTGTGGTGGCCATCCACAAACTCGCTGGTGGACACCCCGGGTTAGGGAGGCTGTCAAGTTGAAGAAGGAGTCCTATCAGGCCTTGTTGGCCAGTGGGACTCTGGAGGCAACTGAGGAGTATCGAAGGGCCAAGTGGTGTGCAGCCTTGGCTGTTGCTGAGGCAAAGGCTCGGATGTGGGAGGAGTTTAGTGAGACCTTGGCTAGAGACTCTCGGTCGGCTCCGGGGAGATTCTGGCAAACGATCAGGCGGCTGAGGAGGGGAAAGCAGCACTTTACTAACACTGTGTTCAGTGAAGGTGGGGTACTGTTGACCTCAACCAGTGATGTCGTCGGGAGGTGGAAGGAATACTTCTTGGACCTTCTCAATCCCACCAGCACATCTTCCATGGAGGAAGCTGAGTTGGGGGACTTTGGGGTTTATCCATCCATAATTGTGGCTGAGGTTGCCGAGGTAGTTAAAAAGCTCTGAGGTGGCGGGGCTCCGGGAGTGGATGAGATTCACTATGGGGCTGTCTTGGCTGATACGCATTTGCAACGTCACGTGGACATCGGGGGCAGTGCCACTGGATTGGCAGGGTGGTGGTTCCCCTCTTCAAAAAGGGGGACCGGAGGGTGTGCTCCAAATATAGGGGCATCACTCTCCTCAGCTTCCCTGGTATGGTCTATTCAGGGGTACTGGAGAAGCGAGTCTGATCGTTGGTCGAACCTCAGATCCAGGAGGAACAATGTGGGTTCTGTCCTGGTCGTAGAATAATGGATCAGCTCTTTACCTCTCTCACTGGGGTCCTTGAGGGGTCATGGGAATTTGCCCATCCAGTCTACATGTGTTTTGTGGACTTGGAGAAGGCATTCGACCGTGTTCCTCGGGGAACACTGTGGGGGGTGCTCCGTGAGTATGGGATTGGAGGCTCGTTGTTATGGGCTGTTCAGTCCCTATACAAGCGGTGCGAGAGTTTGGTTTGCATTGTCGGCAGTAAATTGAACCCCTTTAGGGTGGGAGTTGGACTCCACCAGGGCTGCCCGTTGTCACCGATTTTGTTCATAACTATTATGGACAGAATTTCTCAGTGCAACCAGCTGGCGGAGGGTTTCCGGTTCGGTGGCCTCAGGATTCCTTCTCTGCTCTTTACAGATGATGTGATCTTGTTGGCATCATCTTGCCGTGATCTTCAGCTCTCACTGGAGCGGTTTGCAGCCGAGTGTGAAGTGCCTGGGATGAGAATCATCACCTCCAAATCTGAGGCCATGGTCCTCAACCGGAAAATGGTGGATTGCTCTCTTCAGGTCAAGGGTGAGGTTCTACCTCAAGTGGAGGAGTTCAAGTATCTTGGGGTTTTGTTCACGAGTAAGTGAAGAATGAAGTGTGAGATTGACAGATGGATTGGTGTAACATTTGCAGTATTGCGGACTCTGTATCGGTCCGTTGTGGTGAAGAGAGAGCTGAGCTGTAAGGCAAAGCTCTGTTTATTGGTCGGTCTACGTTCCTACCCTCACCTATGGTCATGAGCTCTGGGTAGTGACCAAAAGAATGAGATCGCGGATACAGGCGTATGAAATGAGTTTTCTCCGCAGGGTAGCTGGACTCTCTCTTAGAGATAGGCTGAGAAGTTCAGTTATCCGGGAGAGACTCCGAGTAGAACGGCTATTCCCCCACGTCGAGAGGAGCCAGTTGAGGAGGTTCGGGCATCTGGTAAGGATGCTCCCTGCGAGTCTCCCTAGGGAGGTGCTTCAGGCATGTCCAATTGGGAGGAGACCTCGGGGAAGACCCAGGACACACTGGAGAGACTATGTCTCTCGGTTGGCCTGGGAACGCCTAGGAATCCTCCCAGAAGAGCTGGAAGAAATGGCTGTGGAAAGAGATGTCTGGGCCTCCCTGCTCAAGCTGCTGCCCCCACGACCCAACATCAGAATAAGCGGAAGATAATGGTTGGATGGATGGATGGACTTCTCAAGTGTTCAGCATGGCCATGACTTGAAAGTGCAAGTAGAATAGAATAGAATAGAATAGAATTCAACTTTATTGTCATTGCACATGTCACAGGTACAAAGCAACAAAATGCAGTTTGCATCTATCCAGAAGTGCTTAGCAAGAAAAATAAATTGGTAGATATATATAGTACAATATACAGTAAGTTACTTTGAATATGCTATAGGTATAAATACATACAGTTTGTGAGTGTACAGACTATGAACAGGTTATAATATGAAGGGGTATAGTTCACATGCACCCTCTGCTGCTGGATAATTGTACAATTATGCCTTTTGCAAGTAAAGACTCAGCATTTTAGGGGTGAAAATCAGAAGTGTTTACATCAGCACATAATGGGACAATTATCACAGATACCTATATGTCCCCAAATGCCTATTTCAACCAGAAATATTGTCCCTACTGATATATCGGTTGGGCTCTAATTCTGATAACAATGTCTTTAAAAGCCCTGTTTCAACCTGTTGTTAATAAGCATCCTGGGTGACCCTATCACAAGTGTACAGCACTAAATACACCCAGGACTCATAATAATGCAACAAATCAGAGTCCTCAGACTTTCAGACCTGGTCTGGGACATTTGTGACCACGTTCTTATTACACAATTACTACATGTACTTTTACATTTCTGCTCCAAAAATCTGATGTTTAGTGTATGTACCCAAGATTTGATCTCAAAATGGACCATAAAGTCAATATCTCACTGAGCAGCAACTGTTGGTGACAAACTGTGAATGACATTCACAGAGGAGTCTCCAAAATGTCTCAAAATGTTTGTTTGGGGTTCTCAATTTTCTTGTGTGAGTTGCAAATTTAATTTAATTCTACATAGTATTGTAGCAGTAACAAAGTGTTTTGGCTGTTTGGTTGTGCTAAGCTGTGAGGTAATTGTACTGTCATAAATGTAATTCATCCATCCATCCATCCATTATCTTTTACCCGCTTCTTCCATTTTGGGTCACCGGGGTCACTGGTGCCCATGTCCAGCAATCACTGTGCGAGGGGTGGGGTACACCCTGGATAGGTCACAAGTCCATCACAGGGACTAAATGTAATTCAATAAATGATTAAAAAAATTGAAAAATAAATGGTATTAAATGGGCGACACGGTGGCGCAGTTGGTAAAGCTGCTGCCTCTGAGCGAGAAGGTCACCAGATCAAATCCCAGCCATGGGGCCTTTCTGGATGGAGTTTGCGTGTTCTCTCCATGCATGTGTGGGTTTTCTCCATGTACTCCAGTTTCCTCCCACAGACCAAAAATATGCATGTTAGGCTAATAGGTAACTCTAAATTGTCCCTAGGTGTGAGTGAGAGAGTGAATGGTTGTTTGTCTCATTTGTCTCTGTGTCCCTGTGATGGACTGAGACCTGTCCAGGGTGCACCCCACCTCTCGCACAGTTATAGCTGGATATGGGCACCAGTGACCCCCATGACCTGAAAAGGAATAAGCAGGTAAAAGATGATGGATGGATGGATGGATAGATAGATTGTTGGATGGAGTTTCCTGCTAGTTGCCAACAGTCAGACCCAGTGAGATTCTCACTTGCGAAACTATGTGGAACATAATTTATTGCAAGATATAAACTTGAACTCTATCTACTAATTACTGAATCTTCCAGAACGGGGCATCTGCTGCAGATGTGGTTTGACTAACAGCTGCTTCTCCTTGCAGTGACTCAACGTTGCAGAATATTCCTGTCTTGTTCGGGCAGCCTTCAGACAGCAGATATGCCCGATATGATGGTTTGTTTCCTACCGATAAGATATTTTTCACATTACCAAAGCAAAGCTGACTGGTAATTTAATTACTTTTTTGTCCATTTAACAACAGTGGTTCGTAGTGATGTGTGGGGAGAACCCAGACCACGGTCAGAATCACAGCTGAGCAGGAGTTTTCCAACAGGAGGTTGGTGGGAGAACTTTATTATACCAGTAAATTTATGATCTTTGTATGTTAACAAAGCTGCTGATTTGTCCTCATGTTGCAGCTCCTCCACCACTTCCTCCAAAATACTTCCTGTCAAGAAGTCACTATGGCTACCCTTCAGACTCGCCAGGTAGATATGAACTGTGTGCAAGTCAGTCATATGGTTAAAGTCAAAGACAGTTGTAGTTTCTGAGCTCCACCTTCGTGTTAACAGCTGATCTACCGAATGGGAGGGCAGCTCGCAGTTCGGCCCCAATCTACCTGAATGTTCTCTCCCCGGCTTCATACCGAGGCTCCCCGGCCCCTGACCTGGATGACGTGTTCGCCCCCACGGACAGCCCCCGGATCATTGAGGACACCTCGTCTCCCAGATGGGTTACGTTCACAGATGATAGACCTCCACCGCCCGATGAACCGGCCCCCCCACCACCACCAGACTCTCCTCCACCTGACACTCCGTCATCAACCCCCTCTACTCCTTGTACCTCTCCTGGACCACCGCCAAATGAACCCCCACCTTCTCCTCCACAAATTTCTCCCTTGTCTCCTCCACATTTCACGCCACTGGACTCACCGCCCTCAATTGTTCTCGGACCTCCACCTCCAGATGAGCCAGCCCCTCCCTTACCCCCAAACTTTTCCCCTTCTAATAGCCCCACTGTAAGCTCTGAGGAAGAGGGGATTGATGAGGAGGTGCTTCAGTTTGCAGAGTGTGCTTCCTTTGCAGCCCCCATCAGCCCTGTGCCCCCACTGCCAGCAGAGCGAAGGTCCCCTAGGGTGGGTGTCACTTCTCCCTTAATCTATGGGGGCATTATGGGAAAGAAGACTCCAGATGGGGTGTACCACAGAGATGATCGAGCAGACACTACGGGCTCTCCCCGAGACCTTACACCCAGTTTCAGGGGGACGCCACCTCCTCTTCCTCCAACCACGTACAGGTCCATCATTTCTTCTTCAGGGCCCCACTCAGGCAGCAGTGAGTATTTTAGTCTCTTCTGAAAAGTTTATAATGTTCTGTCTTGTCATACTTGGAGTGTTATTTAATTTACCCAGGCGAAGCCAACCTGGTAAAAACAGCTCCATTGTTGTTGTGGTGTCAGGCGGGCCAAAGTATAATAGCACGAAACACAGAGAACTCCAGGTTGATTCTTCTGTCCACCAAATTATTCCTTTGTAGCTTTGGCGACGTTGTTATTGTATGTTTTGGGTATGAAAATTATATTTTGCCACAGGTCTTTCCAACTCAGGACAAGCACCCACTTTTGTCCATTTTGTACCTGCCTTTTACTTCTTTATACCCACAGAGCTTATTATTATTATTATTATTATAGTTGGGACAACCAAAACAAGTAACTCCAGATGTTTTCAGAATAAACTTCGATCTCATAACAAAAGAAATATAAAAAGCTGTTTTGTTCAAATCTGGTATTAGAGTCAAGAAAAACGACAAATTCACATATTTGCCTAAAAGCGCAAGCATGCTGTTTTGTGCTTTATCTGCATTTCATACAAGCCGCATCTGCTTCAATACACCAGAACTGTAGTGAGTCTTTGCCTGGCACGTGCATAATTTAAACCCTGTGGTTGATTGGTAACGCCTGGCTTATCATCACGTTATGGAAATGGTTTATTTTTTTGACCATGAAATAAAGAACGGCTTGATCCTGTGCAGGGTTATGATGAGCTGGTACCTCTAAAAGCAAAGGTGCATACATGCAGTACATGCAAGATTGTAAGCATGTTGGCATATGCCCATCTGAATTGCATGAGAGTGAAGTGGTAGCCGTTTTGTACCCAACTTGTCTAAAACATCAGTTACTTGGTACAAAGTCACAAGACGATATGGAATAACCAGCACCTAACAGGCTGGTCTGTTGTTGTTTTTAAAAAAGCCTCCAAAAATTCTACTTTGGAAATATTTAGGGATGCACAATATTATCGGCATGGCATCGGTATTGGCCAATATTAGCGATAAAGTTAAATATTGGACATCGACCATTCCATCAAAATAACTCACTGATATAAAAGGTGCTGTTTATATATATATATATATATATGTATGTGTGTGTGTGTGTGTGTGTGTGTGTGTGTGTGTGTGTGTGTGTGTGTGTGTGTGTAAGGTGCTGTTTTTGTATGACAACCCAGTGACAAGGATGCCTGCAGCGCCAGCACATTGTGACGTCACGTGCACCATTGAGTTTAGATTTGTGAAAACTTACAAATTTGCGCTGTTTGGGTGTTGTCATTGTGTTAGAGAGAGTAAACGTCATGAATAAATTTGACATTAAACATAATCCAAGTTGAAGTGTTACATCATTTTCAGCCCCCTTTTTGGCATCTGCATTTGTTAGCAGGCCAAATTGACAAAGACCATGCAGAATAATGTAGTATTTTAATTCCACAGCAGAGAAAGCTGTGTAGTCTCTGTAAGTAGGTGTAGGGAAAAAAAAGTTGGTATTGATATCAGTTATCGGCCAAATAAGTTTTAACATATTGGCATATCGGATATTGGTCAAAAATCCAATATTGTGCATCCCTAAAAACGTTATTTAAAAAAAATCATTTTTTCTCACCAGAGACACAGTTTACATGTAAATGAGAGGTGCAGGTGCAGCAGAAAATGTTCATTTTGAAAAATATCTGTAGTGATGTAGACAAGGCCTTTTCCCACTTCAGAATCACATCCATGCCATGAAGACTAAAGTCTGCACTTTGTTTTTTTCTTGATGGTCTTTCTCACCTTGGGCCTGAAAAAATGGACATTTTCTCCCCCAAAGCAAGTGGAAATATAAACTTGTGATTTCAGGTGTTCACTGTCTATAAAAGTTGATTTTAATGCAGTGCTGCCTAAAGGCTTAGAGGTCACAAACACCAAGAGTTTTTCCGTCTTCACACCTTATCCATCACAGCTGATGCTAAATTTAAAAAAGCAACTTAATTCTCAATGTTTCAAGTTATATATTGTTTATGAACTCAGAGATAACTCTCAGTAGAAGACTTAACCTTGCTTGGAAAGATGAACATTTTAGATGCTTGTCCCACTTCTCTCAATAATAAACACAGCAATAATGAAATCTTTCTGGAAGCTATTACTTTGATGCTCTGAAACAGTTTACCGTTTTTTTTTTTTTTGTGTGTGTGTCTAACCAAACTTGGTTGGTTAGGGTTGCAGACATTTATTTGTCCAAAGTAACTCATGATATTTATGATTTTAAGTGAGCTAGGCTCCAAATGAGGTTTTAAGTCCCACCTTCCCTTGCGTACAATCATGGTGTCACATGACTTCACTTTTAAGCATAGAATAACTATTGACAAGAAAATGTGTTTATAAATGAATATTTAGGGTAATAACCTGCTTGTTAACATGGAGGGAACAGGATTTTTTAAATTTAATTTTATTTAACCTTTATTTACTGATAGTCGCATTGAGTCACGAGGGCTCATTTTCAAGAGAGACCTGTTTGGGAGCAGATGGTGGGAGTTAAGGGTCTTGCTCAAGGGCCTAGATTGGGGCAAATGAGAGTGGAGGCAGGTGTGGTTGTTTCACCTTTTCCACCCACATTTTGATATTGTTGGGCCGGGGAGTCGAACCGGCGGCCTTCCTATCACATGCCCACCTTCTCTAACCTCTGCGCTAGGCCTGTCGCGATAAACAATAAATCAATTAATCACATGATAAATGAAAATTATCAATCTCATTTTCATTTATCGGTTTTATCGTTTCTTTGTGTCTCTCTCTTTCTACTGAAAACACTGGATGACAAAAAGCTCAACTACGGTATTCTTCACTGACCCCTCCCGTTCTCTTTTACCTTTAAAATCCATCTTAACTGTCCAAAATTGCGTTGGTTTTTTTTTAATCGTTAAAAGCAGCTAAGCTGAGAAGCTAAGCTACGAGCTAAGCTAACAGGCCGACCTTGGGGAAAAAACCTCCGTCTTGTCAAAGCTCCAAAATTCACGGTTGAAACCTGTGCCTTTGTCTAAAAAGTAGTTTTTCTCTGCAAAAAGAAGCTGAGAACTCGTTTACTGATTTTTTTTATTAAAAGCTTTGCGTGAAAAATGCTATGCTAAAGAGCTCAAACCACACCGAGCGTCTGCCATTTTGAGAACCGAAAAACAGGAACGAACGACAGCCCATGTCACTTCTCCCTCCCATTTTTCTTAAAGAGACATGCTGCTCACTCTCTCACTATCCATCTTTCAGTTCAGACAGTTTTATACTGCCATCCAGTGGTCAAAAAAGGCACTACACACAAAACAAATTACCAACATTTCTTCTTAAATTTGACAATAATTAGTAATTATTATCAAATTTCAAACAATTTTATTGTTTATTGCAATAATTTCTGAGACAATTAATCCCCCAGCAAAATTTATCGTGACAGGCCTACTCTGTGCAACCACTCTCCTAGGATTTTAAACATATCCAGGAACCAGCTGACAGGGAATCTGTTTCTGTTCCAGCTTCATCTTCCAGGGTCCCGTCCAAACTCTTATCAGTGTAATATGTCTGTGGTGAAAGCATTTGTTTTTAAATTGATACTCAAAAGAAATTCAGTGGATGTCTTAAAGTATTTTCTGTAAATAACACTAATTAAATACTTACACTAATCTGGTAAAATGTTTGGAAGAACCTGTAGTATTAGGTTATATTCATAAGAAAATGCTCCACAGACTTTTATGTGTGACTGTATTTCCATTAAAAAAAAAGTATTTCTCTGATGTTTGTTAGAGATAATGTTGATCAAAATGCACCATAAGAACGATAACCATAGACACTGAAATGCTCCACAGGCCCTTCATCTCCAGTTCGTCCTCAGTCTCGAGGCAGCCCAGTCCCTCCTCCTCCTCCTCCTCCTCCACCTCGTCCGTCTTCACGACCAAAGCTTCCACCGGGAAAACCAATCACTGACCTGGTACATGTGAACAGGCCCAATTTTACTCTGACATATTGTTATGACCAAATGCAGTGGATTCAGAAAGTAATCAAACCCCCTACACTTCTTTGTTGTGTTCCAGTCTGGTGCTACAATCTTTTAAATTATTTTCCCCTCATCAGTCTATTCTTATATATACTTCATAAGGACCATAGTGAGAGAGGGGACCAAGAACCTGAGCTGTAGAGATCTTGCATGGAGGTGGGACTAAGTTCCACAAGGACAACTAGAACTGCAGACCTCCACTGATGTGGGCTTCATTGCAGAGTGGCTGGTTTGTAAACCTCTATCTGGTGCAAAACACTTAAAATCTGCTTGAAGGACTCTCATAGTGTGAGTGTTAGAGAATTCAGAATGAGTGTGAGAATTGTCTGGTCCGATAAAACCAAGATTGGTCCGTTTGGCCTCAATTCTAAATTGTATCTTTAGAGGAAACCTTGCATCACTTGTCCAACATCATCTCAACAGTGAAGCATGGTTGTGGCAGCATCATGATGTGGGGGTGCTTTTAGCAGCGGGGACAAGGAGATTGATCAAGGTTGAGGGAAAGCTGAATGAAGCAAACTACAGAGATATTCCTAATGAAAACCCTGTCGTACAGTGCTCAGGACCTCAGACTGGGTCAAAGGTTCACCTTTGGGAAGGGTTGAGGGACAACTCTGTAAATGTCCTAGAGGGGAAAAGCCAGAGACATGACCTGAACCCTATCAAACATCTCTGGAGAAATCTAAAAATGGCTTCATCAGTGAATCCTATTCAGCCAAACTGAACTTACGAGGATTTGTAAAAAAGAATGAGAAAATTCCCCAGTCCATGTGAGCAAATCTTGTTCCATCAAACCCAAAAAGACTCAAGACTGGAACTGCTGGCAAAGCTGCTTCAACAAAATTCTGTTTCACTCTGTCAGTATAGAATGTAAATTAATGAGAAAAACAAGTAGTAGCATCAGGCTTGGACAAAGGGGTCTGATTTTTTTTTTAACTCACTGGAAAACAATGTTTGGTCTTAGTCATTAGCTGTCTTTGACTTGATGCTGTTTACTTCTGATCAAAGTCTGTCTTGTCCGGTTTTGTTTCTAGAGTCGGCCGTTCAGTCCACCAGTTTCGGGTAGTCCACCACCTTTTGCACCCCTGGCCCGTGCTGAGAGCTCTTCCTCCCTCTCCTCTATTACGTCACACAGTGCAGCGTCGACTCCAACCTTAGGAAAAGACCTTATCATGCCCACCACAGGTTTACAACTCGCTCTGTGTCAGTTTCAGTCCACATGGTGTCTGTTGTCGTTGTTTGTGCCTCACCGTCTTGTTCCTTTCCATGATTTTTGTTCCTCATGTGTCTGCTCACCCAGAGGCCTCGCTGCCTTTGGTATGGTTTGATCACGGCAGGTTTCATTTAGCTTTTGAAGGTAAGTTGAGCCACAGTGCTACTGTAGTGGTGTCAGTGCATGAACAGGAAGTACATACCCAGTTTTTTATCATCTGTGTTCACACAAGTATTACTGTACATCCCAAGTTCTGCTCACAGAGAACCCTGAATCATACATAGTGCAGTTTGATTTTAGTCTGTTTACTTTCATTTTTCCAAATCTGTGCTTTCAAAATATTCCTGATTTCACCTTTATGTTAAATATAATTGTGCTCTGCAGAAAACACATGCTCTGTAGAGATGTTTTATGGGTAATTTTTGTATTTCTGTGGGTTTCAGGGTGCTCCAGAGGACCCAGTCCTCTTACCATGGGACCCCAGGACACTCTGCCAGTTGCAGCTGCTTTCACAGAAACTATCAATGCATATTTTAAAGGCGCAGACCCAACCAAGTAGGTATACTTTCCAAAACTGTGTCCTGCCAGTGTAGAACAATACAAATTATTTCAGTTTTCAGTGCTCTTGTATTGTTGTAAATATTAAAAGTTAGAGGACAATCGAGAGTAGACTGAGATGGTTGAGAGTTCAGTTTGTGTTTCTGGAAGTGGATGTTTTAGCTCAGTTTCTCTTTCCACCACAAATCTCTGTTGCAGATGTGTGGTGAAGATCACAGGAGAGGTGGTGCTCTCCTTCCCTGCGGGTATAACCAGGCATTTTTCGAGCCACCCACCTCAACCCATCCTCACCTTCAGCATCAGCAACTACAACCGACTGGAGCAGGTCCTCCCCAACCCTCAGCTGCTGTGCTGGTGAGCTTACAGTTAAAGGCAAACTCACGCAGTAGAGCTGAATGTACTAGTTTTTCCTCAGGTATGTCTCACTGGGAGATCATCAAACTCCTCTCTCACCCTATTTAGCCAGCCGTTGTGTAACTTCTGTTATAAGTTGGCTAATGGGTGACATAAGTTGGCTAATGGGTGCAAAATTGCTGATTTGTGCGATGGTAGTGCTGGATGGTCCATCGGTCACAGTGAGACGTCATTTACACTTACTGACAAAAAAAGTAAAGTAGCCAGACACAGGTAGTGGAAATAAGATGAAACTTCATGTTTAAAGGTCATTTGACTGAATACTGTATCAGATCAAATAAACTGAGTTGGCAACACAGACACGTTGCTGGTCCCATGTCAGTGGGGTCTGGTACCCATTGGGGCTAGATACAAATGTCAAGTCAATACAGAACGGATTCATTGAACTGTTGTATCCTCCTGCAGCAAGTCATTCCACAGCTGCTGGAACTGGGCCTTGAGATCCATCAGGTCACCACTGGGTTGGAGTTGAAGTCTGAGCTGGTCCCACACATGTTCAATTGGAGAAGGATCGGGGAACATGGCTGACCACGGGAGGACCTCAGCATGACACAGACAGTCAGACACTTGTGTTCAGTTCAGTTCAGTTTATTTATATATAGCCAATTCACAACAAGCATCTTCTAAGTCAAGGGTTCCCATTCACTGGACTGGGGACCAGTATTGGGCCTTAGATCATATGGTATCAAGTCGCATAGAAAGATAAAAAGTTTAATTTAGTTTTTTTTTTCTATTTGCAGTAGTCTGTCTGGTATTTTATTTTGAAAAGCTATCACTTCTGTTTGTGCAATTTCAATCGCAAATATTTTCATGCACTGCTGAGCTCTCAAACTAACTTCAGCAAAAATTAGTAACCAACAAACATAACAAGAGAGCTTCTTTGAAAATGGGAAAAGGCGACCGGATATAGAATGAAGCCATGAAACTATCAAAACTGTTTGGCTACGTGGAGACTAAACATGCTTCATTAAAAGATAAGCCTTTGGAGTTTACTTATTTTTAAGAAAGAAAACAAAACATGAACACAAAGGTCAGAAACAATTACTGAAGGCGACCACTTCATGAATGTGTCTGCACTGAATGCATCGTAGTTAGTTGTTAACTGCATTGCTAAAGTTGGAGTTGTATTAAATCAAAAGGTTAGGGACCCCTAATCTAAGGGTCACTGTACAAAAACATTCACATTCATTATAAAATGTCACTTGGTACCAGGGTGCTGTCTCAGTAAGGAGAAGACATATGGACACAAAATGCCAGCACTTAAGAGTTATCGTGGCAGACGACCTGAAGTCATGCCTCTGACTCCCTACACCATGATGCCAGGAATCAGTACCACAAGTTTGTCTCACATTGTAATTGGAGAATTGGTCCTCTCCCCTCAGCACATTGGGAGATTAAACATGCACCTGATCGTTATTCGTGGTAATGCAAAGCTGAGATTTTTCAATATACAACAACACATCTGTCTAAATCTTCTGGTTACGACAGAACTCCAACCGATGTTAATATGTTAATATCAGCCCACACATGGCACAGTGGACTTGTAGTTTGGCTGATACCAATCATTGAGACAAGATGTTGTAATGAGTGTAATAACTACAGTATGTCCAAAAGGTAGGCACAGATGCCAGGGGTTCATAATGTTTTGTGCACAATACCACTTTATTTATAAAGCACTTAAAACAGCAACAAGAACAACCCAAGTGCTGTACAGCAAAAGCAAAACAAGCAAATGACACGGGATAAAATACATTGATCCAAATAGGTAAAGTTAAGAACTAAATGGCTAACATTATAGAATACAGACAAGTTAAAATCAGCTCACACAGTGTCAACAGTCAGGGAATAAAAGTGTCTTTTCAAACGAGACTTAAAAACAGTGAGAGAGGGAGCCTGCCTGATACGCAGTGGTAAGTCATTCCACAGTTTTGGACCTGCAACAGGGAAGGTCCTGTCACCTCTGAGCTTAAAACGAGTGCCTGGAACCAATAAAAGCATCTGGTCTGCTGACCTCAGAGAGTGCTGTGGGACATATGGCTGCAGCAGATCAGCGAGATAAGAGGGGGCAGAACTATTCAGAGATTTAAAAACATATAGAAGGATTTTTAAATGAATTTGAAAGTGAACCGGGAGCCAGTGAAGGGAGGCCAGAACTGGAGTAATGTGCTCTCTTTTGCCTGTACCAGTTAAGAATCGGACTGCAGCATTTTGAACCAGTACTATACAACAGTACAACAATCTTCTCTTAATGTGCTCTGTCGTGAGCAACCAGACTTTTCACAATATGTATGGATGCCTTCATATACACATTTATACCATCCTTGGGACATTATGACATCTGTATGTCCCACGTGAGCGGCAGTTGAACCATACAACCACCTGACCTACTACAAGTTTACGATATGATCTCTATCCAACTTCATTAAGTGCAGGTAGTGCTGCCTAATGTGTTTATGAGGGATTCTCTGGGTCTGCTGATCTTCACTCACTGACTGACTGTTGGTGTGCTGGCCTGATAACACTATTGCTTCAGCTGTGATGCCACCGTTCATGTCCTCTGGTGCCCATTCTGACGTGACAACTCCTATAATGAAATAATTTCCAGACTCAGATCTGGTCTGCACACTGACCTAAACACTGGACCTTTCCTTCTGGTTGCTGGACTTCTTTTTGTCAGTGAGTGTCGTTTTTAATTAATGTGGCATTTGTGATATTCATGCTGTGTTTGTTTAATAGAATGTGTTCTTGCCCTCCTGTAGTGATGCTACAACTGACGTTATGGACTCCAAGGAGTTCTGGGTAAACATGCCTAACTTGATGAGTCATCTTAAGAAAGTGGCTGAGCAGAAGCCTCAGGCAACATACTACAACGTGGATATGATCAAATACCAGGTATGAAATGTTTAGTATAAAATATTTCCCCCTGATTGAGGGAACAAATGTTGTCCCAGGACACTGTGCAGAACATTCACATATGAAAAAAGCCTATAAGTGAAAGTTATCTAAGGAAACGAGTAGATTGTGCTGAATCTCCACTTCGTGGCAACCTCCCATAGAGCATCATATTTTCTTCTTGGTCTTTTCTCTGTAGGTGTCAGCAGAGGGAATTCAGTCCACTCCTCTAAACCTGGCAGTGAGTTGGCGAGGGGATGCCACTAACACAGACCTGAGAATAGATTACAAATACAACATGGAGGCCATGGCCGCACCAGTACCCTTATACAATATCCACTTTGTGGTCCCTGTTAATGGAGGCATAGCCAGACCACAGGCCATGATCCCACCTGCCACCTGGTAAGAACTCCTTACAGTTTCCACCTGCCATCCTACCAACAAGATCCTATTTATGTTTAGTACTGTTATGTAAGAATCCTTTGGACCAAATGATTGCATGGGAAAACATTCTGGAGAATATTATTTTTTCTGTGGTTGCATGCTGGGTACAGATACAAACCCTGAAGGGACATAACAACCAGGCACTGGCTGGTACTGTAGACAACATCCATCCATCCATCCATCCATCCATCCATCCATCCATCCATCCATCCATCCATCCATCCATCCATCCATCCATGTTTTACCCACTTCTTCTTTTTCGGGTCATGGGGGTCACTGGTGTCTATATCCAGCTATCACTGTGCGAGAGGCGGGGGACACCCTGGACAGGTCTCCAGTCCATCACAGGGACACATAGAGACAAACAACCATTCACTCTCTCACTCACACCTAGGGACAATTTAAAGATACCAATTTCATTTATGATAATTAAACCCTGGGTTTTATCCTTGGCCTATTCCCATGCATTTAATTTTCAAGCAAACTTTAAAAATAGTTCATATTGACAACAACTTTTATTTTTCTGACGGTCTTCTTTGTGGTAACCAGCAGCTGTGAATTGTCTGAGCCGATCACCATTCAGTTGAGACAAAAAAGAGAAAGTTTTCTGAGATAAGAGCTCAAAAAAAGCACACGTTCCTTCCAGTCCACCAACATTTTGAGATCTTGAGATGTGTGATTTTTTTTAGTATGTTGTGCATTTGCTGACTCCTTTCTAAATATTTATTGTTAATTTTGGGTTTAAGCTCCATTTTGCCTCAACAGAACGCAAATATTAAAAGTGTTGATTTTGTATAAGCACACCTCATTTGCATTTTTTCTGTATTAGCATGGACACGACCTACTGTAAATGATTTACTTTTTATTTACTAACAGCAACATGTTTTGGTAATGTGAAATTATTTTACACCGAAGGAATCCAGAGGAGCAAACAATCCAGTGGAAAGTTCAGAGCCTGTCACATAGGTCTGAAAATGGAGGCAAGTGTGTGTCATTTAAGGAATCATATTTTACAATATTTCTTAAAAGTATTCTCTTAAAATACAAACTCAGAGATAATGTTTGTGTTATATAGGTGTAGGAGCTCTACTGGGCCGGTTCCAGATGGAAGAAGGTTCCTGTAAACCCTCCCAGCTGGCAGTCCAGTTCACCAGTGAAGGAAGCACCCTGTCCGGGTGCGACATCCAGCTCGTTGGGACCGGCTACCGGCTATCGTTAATTAAAAAGAGATTCGCTGCAGGTCCGACTGAGTGTTCGAAGTGTTGGTAAAATAAAAAAAACTTTGCTTCTGTCATCTGAAAACACAGAAACTAACTGCTGAACATTTCTCTTTTGTTGTTTCACAGGAAAATATTTGGCAGATAATTAGTTTGACAACTGAACCAAGGAAATCTCTGGCTTTCGACTGTGAAGGAATCCATCCCATGTTTAGTGGCCCTGAGAGTTCATTCTTAGCTAACAAATGGACTAAGTGGTTTAGAATGACCAGAAAACAAATTGACACAAAAAGATGATGTTTGATTTAAGCCCCGTGCACATTACTTTGAATATTTTTTGAATTAGAGATTTTCTGTTATGTTTGCGCCTCCCGTCCACACAGAAATTACTTTTGTAATATGATAAATCAGTTTTTAAAACGTTTTCTAAAGTGATGCTGTATTTTTACTGCCTCTGTGTGGGCTGTGACATAGCATCCTATTTTGTCTATGCCCACTATGAGTTGCTTCAGAAACTAAAACAACAATGAAGCCTTTTTTTTTCTTTTACAGTTTTTTCTGCATCTGGCTCTCTTCAATCTAACCCGACCCTGTTGCCATTAAAGTTTAGTCTTGTGTTGAAACGGTTAACTGAGAGGAAAATATTATTTTCTAGTATTCTGTCTCACATGGCAGCAATTGTTGGGGATTACCGTAATTTCCGGACTATTGAGTGCACCTGAATAAAAGCCCTGCCCACTAAATTTAAAAAGGAAAAAAAAAATTGTACATATATAGGCCGTACTTGTATATAAGGCTAGAGTGTCCATGTTGTAACATGAGATATTTACACCGAAAATTTGGTTTTAACTTTTAATTAAATACGTACCGGTAACATACACAAATACGTACAGTAAATGTTATTTTCAAAACAGTGCCTGTAACAGCTGGTTAAAAAATTTAAAAAATAGCCTACCAGGAAAGGTCATTGAACACTATCTTCATCTTCCTCCTGTGCATTCAAACCACAAAAGTCTTCTTCGGTGTCAGGATTGAACAGCCTCAGAAAAACGTCATCACTCATCTTCAGTCTCTTTCCTGGTCACTCTCAACGTCACTCTCAACGTCACTTTTGTCTCTAGGCAAATTCATGATTTGATGTATGATTACGCTTATTTCAAGTGGTTGCAAATACTTCATTGTGCTCCATCCAGCACGGGAACTCCCTGGGGGCACAACGGGGAGGGGAGGAGAGAATGGGGGCGGTGGCTGTCAAAGTCCCGCCCCCATCCCCAATGAACCAATGAAACCAAGCTTAATTGGTCCACTGTGACCTGCTCTGTAATTTTAGTCAGATTATTTTAAACTTTATTTATACAGGTAGACTCACTGAGTCACAAGGACCCACCCCCCAGGAGAGACATGTATTGGGCAGCTATGTGAGCGCCCAGGTGTGATGAGGCTAAATGTTTTGGCGGCTTACTCAATAACCCGTAAAAAAAAAAAAAATCCATAAATTAGCCGCAGCTTCGTATAAGCCGAGGTGTTCAAAGCGTTTGAAAAAAGTAGTGGCTTATAGTTCGGAAATTACGGTTTTTAGAGACACAGAATTGTGGAAAATTATACAAGTTTTTAAATGGAATCATATTAAATAACACATTTGCAAACATTTGGGCCAAAATTAGCTTTTTAAATGAGTTTTTAAATGAAAATTCTCTAGAGAATCCTGTTTGCGGTTAGTTTCAACCCAGTGAAATATTAGTATTACAATGTTTTGGAGAATTTTTAGCCAAAATGCAAATGTTCTTTCTCGCTACCTACTGGTGAGGCATCGGTATATCAACGTTTTTATTAGAATGTGTGAACGGAAAAATATTTAAAAATAGATAATTGTAAAAAAAAAAAATCCAGAGTAATGTAGATGGGGCCTTAATGACACTATGTTCAGTAGACTGATCACTGCTGAGTTTATGCAAGTAAATACAAACGATCATCTGTGCACTGATAAGAAGTATGGAGTCAAAGGGAAACCTTTAGTCTTTGTTATTGGTAACTGTAAAGGTCATTGTGGATTTCATATACTGATCCTGCCTGATTTAATGGAGTTTATTTAGTTTAGCCACTTAGAATGGCAAATGCACTGTAAGAGACAATGTGAATAATCATGTACTATAAGAACAATCTTAAAGGTGGAATCCTAAGATAAAAAATGTGTGTATTTTATTTGGCAACACAGTAAGCTCCGTGTTACAGCCACTGGAAATTTTATTTTCAGTGCGAGTCTCCCTAACGTCATCCCAGCATCAGTTCAGCGATTAAAGGCAACTGGTTACTTCAGAACGACCTGCAGAATCCAGCACTTTGAACATTTAGGTGAAGCTTCATGGACATATTTGAAGATTTAATACCCATTAGATGATGATCACATCCATATTCTTCCACATGAAATGTTTTGTAGAGAAATGGTCACAAACATGAAAGTACTTGATCAAAACCCTTCAATAATCAGTGAATGTTTCTTTTGCTTATTATTTTGTGTAAATTGCTGAAGTTTAAAACTATTTACTAATGTGCTGAAATGTAATAGTTGCCCATTTTTAAACTGCAGTGGTTTATAAATGTGTAAACTATTTCAAAGTGAAGAATAAATACAGATCTGTGTTCAAGCTAGTCACTAAAGCATTTCTCCACAAAAAAAAAATCGATGTGCAAACAAATTGATAACTCTTTGTTCTTAAAAGTGAGTGATACAAGCACTAATGCCATAACTCTGCCTCTACACCTAAAACCAATCCAGGTAATTCATTTAAAGCAGTTTTACGTAAAGAAATGCGCAGCAATGCTGGGATTTGTCAAAGTTCTTAGAAGGGTCCTTTATGCTGTTTTTTTGTGGCAATTAAGGGGAAGTTTTGAAGTTGATACGTACTCTATAAATGTGTGGGTAATTAGTTCTCCATGTGGACGCCCTCGCTACGTTTGACATGTGCAGTCAGGTGTGTGAGGGCCATACGCTGAGGAGGACCTTTTAAGTTTCCAAAGAAAGCCACAGCGTCCCGAGCAGAGAATTGTAAAGTGTTGCCTTTGATGCTGCTTAAAGGTTCGGCCTATTTTTTGGCCTTGATCTTGATCGAAGTCTTGAGTAGGATTATTGTGATCATTCAGAATAATGGAATGAGACTGGCTCTATTCAAGTCCCTGTTTTATTTTCTTACTTTTTGCCGTCTTGAATAAATGTTTTATTGTTTTCTAATAGCAATATTGAAAGAAAAAAAAAGTACATGTAAAAAGGTGTACATATAAAAGTATGTTTTGAATATTTGTCTGAGCATTTGGATGTGTCTGTGATTGTCTTTTGGTTTGTTGATGTCAGCACTGATGCTGCGTTTAGTTCTGCATAAGGCCACACTACACTCCAGAGGAAATCTTCCTCAGCCATGGATCAAAACGTTACCGCATGAGAGTTTGCATTCGTCCCTTACCCATCTGTCCATTTGTATCACGGTCATGATGTGTGCGCTGCTGTGTAGGTGTGCTTTGCTTTCACTTAAAAGAATAGTTCAGCCTTTTTGAAGTGGGTTTGTGGGACAGTTATGAACATTGTTTCCTGTTAGCTATTAAAACATTGATTTGAAGAAACAAAGTTTAAGGCCAATTTGCAGTGATGTAAAGGTTTATGAAGAACCATTTGCATTAGAGCTGACCGATATGGAAATTTTGGCTATCGTCGATACCGATATTGGGAGGGGAAGGCGACCACCAATAACCAATATAATGGCTGCATTTTTTTTTTTTAGCTTTGTCCACCCTGAAGAATCTCAGTAAACAGCGAGTGCAGTGGGACTTGTTCATTTAGCGCAGCTGTTAGCAACTGTGAAGCTAAGCTAATCAGATCTATGCTATACGTACTCCCACTCTAGATTTACAAGTGGTGAACTGGTCAAAAAATACAGTCTTCCTAACGTCTGTTCACATTGTCTATCCTCCACTATTCACCATAAAGTTATCATGTGTGTTACAAAATATAAATTAAACAAAGAAACACCCTTACCTGTTCATTGTTTAAACAGTCAGTCATGTACGGTGAAGGTCTAATTAGCATTGATAGCAGCAAAGTCTTTTTTTCTTTGCAGAGAATTACAGATTTCAGACAAACAATGCATTTCATTGAGGACGACAAAGATAATGTTACTAACACTGATATATTTTACCGCTACATTACATTTATTGTTTTGGCTAAAGTTTTACAAGGCAATAGCCTATGCTAGGTTATCTAAACGTTAGCTTGCTAACTTGAGAGGCACATAGCTAATGACAAGCAGGTGTGAGGATGGAAGAGAATTTATTATTGTTGACATTTTTTTTACAGATCAGTTAAAATAAAATTTCCATGCTCTGTTCAGAAAAATACGCTACACAGCTGCGACCCGTTTCGGCTGCCCTGAAAGTGAAACTTAAGTGAATGGCAATGACTTGAAAGTAATCTTCATGCTCCCTCTGCTGGATACATTGTACAATTATGGATGGTTCCAGCATTTTAGGGGTGAAAATTAGAAATACAGTAGTCCCTCGCTACTACAAGGTTTGACTTTAGCGGACTCACTGTTTTGCGGATTTTCAACATAAGAATCTACTTGGTGGATTTTCAGCTATCGCGTGGGTGTCTGGAACGTAACCCTCATGTTAAGTGAGGGAATACTGTACTTATATCGGCGAATAATGAGACAGTTATCACCAATACCAATATAGCCCCAAAGATCTATATTGGCCTAAAATATCGTCTCCTACCGATATATTGATCGGGCTCTAGTTTTGAATGAACCACAAAGAAATTTAGATAATTTGTGTTTTCAGCTGATCTTGGTATTGGTTAGGTTTGGCGTAGTCCTGAACTCGCAGCAGGCTTACAGGTTTTTAAAAACCCATTGTGCCTCTGTGTGGCATTGAATTACAAACTGGGGATGAGAAGTGATTTTCAGTTTACAAATTCAAAAAGTGTTTTGCTTGAATTGCGCATTCCTAATACAGACACGTTTAGATGACTTTGTGCCCTAGAAACCAAAACAAGAAACCCAATTTACTGTTTTTTGTTGTTGTTGTTTTTGGTTGTTTCAATTTGTCTCTCTTTACCCTGATCCAGTTGCTGTAAACTTTAGACATGCTGAAATGGTTATTCACTGAAGTGAACTGGCAAAAATAATTAAAAAGCTACGGTCGTTTTAGGAAATTCTTTAGTTAAGCTAAGATTATTTGTCTTTATGTCATTACTGTAGACATTCTTACCACCAAGTGGCGTGGCATGTGTATTTC